AGAAAAGAAAAGGAAAAGCCAAAAGAAAGAACCTGCTAAGTTTCCTTCAGGACTTTTCCATTTTTAAATATTCTTGACAATATACAATAACTTAAATTCCAAAGCAAATGGAGGTGGGGGTGGGGTTGGGGAGACAATCAGGACACACGGACAAAGAAGACGACGCTGGTATAGGAGGGTCTAGGGCTAGAAACCAGTAAATATTAGGGTACAAAACAAACAGAAGAGAACTTTCACTTTACCTAGACTCAAAGGCTCCTAAGGGTACAAAGTCCCAAAGAATGCTTTTGAGTAAACTAAAACCCATCTCCAACTCTTTTCATAAAATTCTTTAACCAAGAACCTGGGCCTATGGTATCTATGTGTATGTGTATGGCTGTGGGTGAATGTGTAGAACGGGCAGGGATGGGTGAGCCTCCCTGCTGGGCACCAGGGTATGTGCCTCAGTGTGACAAAGCGACAGAAGCTCACAGGGCTGGGAGAAAGGGGGAAAGTGGAGCTACAGTGAGGAGCAGAATCAGGGCAGCGGAGACGAGTCTTCAGTCCTTCAGTGATGCTGGGAGGAAGGCTACAGAATTGATGGGTCATCCCAGCGAGGAACGAATCCCCGAAGAATGAGAATCGTGGTGCAGAAAGTCTCAGCAATACAAAGCCGCTGAGCTACGGGGAGGTTCAAACTCTGGTCACAGAAGCAGATGACCTGTAAGCCAAGGGACACAGCTCCTGAGAGAAAGGGTAATTTCAGAGCCTAGGTGGGGGCAAGCTGGCCTAGTTTCACCTTGGGGCTTCTCAGCAGTAGTCTAGAAATGTGCTCAGAGGCTAGAGACGGTCTTGGGACCAAGCAGATCAGGTACTTGTTTCCCAGCTGTGTGACCCCAGGCAATTTATTAAACACCTGAGTCTGTTTACATATCCTTGGATTCAGGTTAATACCCAACTCTTAGAATTATGTAAGGAGTCACTAAATATATGCATTTAAGCCCCTAGGACAGAGCCTCCAGCATGGAAAAAATGTGATTTCTCAAAATGTGTTATTCAACTTCCTGTCTGGGGGCCAGGATAAACCCATGTCTCACTCTGACAGTAATAAAGAAAACAAAGTCAGGTGTGGTGACACATGCCTGTAATCCCAGCATTTGGAAGGTAGAGGCAGGAAGATCAGGAGTGCGAGGCCATGGGCTATAGCGCAAGTTTAAAGTTAGCCTGGGCTACGTGAGACCCTGTCCAAAACAAAGAAACAAACAAGCCCTCGCAAGTGTGTCCTTGGAACTGGAGGTAGAATAAATGGAGTGAAATGATGATGGAGTGGGTAGTCAGGTACTGGACCTGACACTGGTGATGTGTGGAGATGATCTGGAAGACTTGCTGTGCAGGTGCAGACAGGGATCATAAAACTTAACATGCAAGGAGCAAAAAAGCCTCCACTCCCTCTCTCCTGAGATCCGAGCAAGAGCAAATGAGGTTTATATACTTCTAGAAGTCCCAAAGAGGTTTAAGATGAGAATCTACTTCAGACAGCACTTTCCTTTTCCCAGAATACACTAACAGCCAGAAGGTGGCCTCAAAGAGCCTGAAAGACAGAGAACTGGAAGGAAAAGTCAAAAGCCACTCAAGCTGCAGTGCTGGGGTGAAGAACTGGGGGCTTCACCTTTGTATTTAAATGTGAGTGCTCCCAGAGGGTGACCAGCTCCACCCAGGCCTGGAAGTGTGGGGATAATGATGAGAAGAAAACATCAGCCGTATGCCAAATGCTACAGACCCATGCAGAGACCCGGGTGAAGGATAGGCAGGACTCAGACCAGGATGAGGAGGGCGAGGCACTTCCTTGGATGCAAACTTCAGGGGAACATTTAAAAAAATCAGTATCAAGGGATAAATCACATTTCAATGTAGTTTTCTAAAATACGAAAATTAATGGAAACATCCAGGATGAACACAGTGTTCAGCTTTAAGTCAGACTGTCTGTACAGGCTTTGAGGTGTGAAGGATTTCAGGTATGTGGACCATATAGGACATCTGAAAACCTGGTCCTGGACTTCAGTGAGGGGAGAGCAAGTAACAGCACATCCATGGGGCCTTCACACGTCAGGCCTTTTCTGACAGTCTTCTGACTTTTGAGTTCAGAATGGCACTTCTGTCCCACCTGTCCCGGTAGGAAAGGCTGGTTTTTGAGCCGCTAGAATTGTATTCTGAGTTCCCATCCTGAGACACCATCTAACTGACATGTTCACACTTGACAATCAGTCCAGTAAAACCTGTTTATAAGAGTGGGTCAGAGCAATTAGGAGGGAAGACAGGTCAGGGGCAAGGCAGGTCTGTTTCTAAAGAAAACAGAAGTGTAAAAAGCTGCCAGCTCAGATAACCTGCCTCTAGCCTTGTCTCTTTCCAACTCAAGCCCCAAGGAGACACAGGGAACCAAGGCAGTAAGGATCAAGAAGGACCAGTCCTAGTGGCAGAGCTCAGGAGAACCATTTTGCAGGGCCAGTCCAGGGCTTGCCCAGCAGCATAGGGAGGCCTGGGTGCCTCCAAGACCCACAACTGGAAAGGGAATGGGTGGGGCATGTCAATAGCATTGAGATGGATGGAAAATAAACAGTTCATGAGAAAGTCAAGGAAGCTCACCTGACCTACAGCGCCAACCAGAAGCCCAGGACTGAGTCAGGCTACTTAGACACCTATTAATTGGCCTTAATCAACTAAGATTTCAGCTCCCAGCTCCTGCCTTCCAACACAAGCACCAGAAATGGTGGGTCCAAGCAGCAATGTCAGGGAAGAAAAAAGGGTCTCCCCAGAAGCAGCAGTGGGCTTTGTTTTATTTTGAAACAAGGCCTCCCTATTGCCCAGGTTGGCCTGGAACTTGTTCTGTACACCAGGCTGGACTCAATCTCACAGAGATCTGCCTGCATCTGCCTCCTTGCTGGGTTTAAAGGTATGCATCATTATGACCATTGGGCTTTCCTTTCACATGTAAATTTTATTAGAATTTCTGATCTAGGAAAACATTGATTTGCCTGAGAGGCATCTGGGAATGTTCCCAACGACTATCTTGACAAGAAGTTATTCTAGGGTCAAGCCAAGGACAAAGGCAAGTGATATGTGACTGAATCACATGAAACAGTCAATGTTAGCCTCTGACCTACAACCACACACATTCACACCTTTCTTCACCAAGGGAAACAGTCCAGCAAGGTGAAGCTATCTGTGCTAGACTTGGGGTTCGACCACACATTTAAGAGACAGGATCTTGCTATGTTGCCGAAGGCTGGCACCAAACACCTGAGGTTCAAGCAATTGTCCTGCCTCAGCCTCCTGAGTAACTGGGTTTCCAGGCATTTGGCACTACACCTGGACAGTACATTTTAAAGTCAAAAGAGCTTTAAATATGAAAATGACTCATCTCCAGTTCACAGGAGGGCTTTTGAGATCCAGTAGCACACAGACATTGGGAAATTTGCACCTAGTAAGTGCACAGCTCAGGCTGCCAGATTCTTGCCACCCACAATGCACTGAGGGCCACTCTCACCTTTGTGCCTGGTCCACAGCCTGGACAAGTCCTTAGGAAAAGTACAGTATTATACCAACAGCAACACCTGCCTCTTCCCAGGCCTTCCAGAGGCAATGAGATGTGTTTCTGACCTGTTGGGATTGGGCCATTCCTCACACACCAATTGAAAGGCACATGTTCAAACACAAGACAAAAAGGCCAGGATTCTGTAGCCACAGGGGAGAACCACTGGACAGATGGACATTTCAACTCTAAGGTGTCCACTCACAGTCGTCCAGTCTTCAGGACCCACTGTTCTTTGTTCTGTTAAAAGTGAGTTTGGCAGGGGAAGGGCTCTTGCCTAGCACATGGGAGGTCCTAGCCATGGAGGATAGGGGAAGAGGAGGGAGGGAGGAGAGGATGGGGGAGAGGAGGGAGAAGGAACAAAGGAGACAGACTTCATGCGTTAAGAATGGCCCTTCTTGTGGGGCAAGAAGTATCTACAACATGGGAACTATGGAGGCAAAAGCACTGGACAAAGGTCAGGTCTAGATGCCCCAGGATGCCTGTGTCCCTGAGACAACTGCCTGAGGGAAAAGGGGAGCCCCACACTTTTGACACATGATGTCCCATGGGCAAGGGGGTCATTTCCCAAAGATTTTTCCAGAAACTGGACTAATTCTAGGCTCTTACCAAATCTGACCCTGGGGATGGTCCTAAGAAAGCAGAGGCAGCCAACAATCAGAGGCTGCCACAATCTCCCATTTCCTCCCCAGGAAGGCAAACTGCAGGATGCCCAGCCAGCCAGGTTAAGTGGGGGAATTAGAAATGATGCTTGTTGTCAGCTGGGCTACATAATGTGGTGGAAGTGCATGTGCGTGGCCCAGGTACCCATTAGTCATGCTAAGCTGGCTCCAAATCATTCCTCTCCCCGAAGTCAAATGATGAAATTAAGGCAAAATGACCCAAGGCCAACGTGGTGAGAACCACACCTTGGCTTCAGCGTCTTCATCCTGCAGGGGAAGCAGCTTCACTTTGGGGAACTGGCCAGAAGCCACAGAGCTTCACTGACCTTCGCTGATGCACACACCGATTGCCTGGAAAGGGGAGCAGGCGATGAAGGCTTTTAAAAGGAAACCTGAGTGGGGCCAAAAGCAAGGCCCAAGGTCACGCAGTAAGAACAGAACAGAGGCAAAGGGACAACCTGTGCAGATTCAGAGACTGGTGGCCAGACCCAACAGTCCATGGGGCACTTTAATTCCTCTTCACTTGCATCTTCACGTTTTTGTTTTTAATTGTTGTTGTTTTGAGATAAGGTCTCTCATAGCACAGGCTGGTCTCAAACTCAACTATGGAGCCAAAGCTGGCCTTGAACTTCTGATCCTCCTACATCTACCTCCAAAGTGCTGGGATTGCAGGCATGCATCACCCCCAGTTTATGCAATGCTGGGGGTGGAACCCAGGGCATTATGCATACTAGGCAAGCACTCTACCAACTGAGCTACATCCCCAGCTCTGCACCTTAATCTTTAATTTTTTCCTCTTTCTATTCTAGCAAATGTATTGAATGTGAAAGAAAATGATCTCGTTTTTGAAGGTCAGGGGGAAGGGCTGGCCTATTCTGAGTAAACCAAATGTAAGGTATTGTTATGATGCGTACCAGGCCCTAGGGATGGGTACCAAAGAATGCCAGATTAAGAGCATCCACCAAATCATCCTAGAAACAGCTGTAAGGACAACAGAGCATCTATTCAGCTCCTGGCAGTAGCAGGAACAAAGGGTGTGAGGAGATGGAGCAGAGAGCAGTACCTGATCCTGTGATCCTCCAAGTAGCAGGCACCTGCTAAGAGCAGAGGACCGAGTGCGAGTGCGTGAAGGGAAGCAAAGGAAAGAGGGAGGCTGCTGGCTGCTCAAGTCGCTTTAGCTACAGCCTCCAAGAAAGCTCTTGACCACGACCACAGAGCAAGGGAACCTGAGTGGAGGGAAAGCCACCCCAACTGTGGCTCTCTTGATGTTTATCTCACCCAGACTTGTACCAGAGTGCAACAGGCAGTGGCCCAGCAGAGTGTGACAGGTAGTAGAGCCCAGGTTTGGAGAAGCTGAGGCTGTAATACCCCCATCTGCCTGTGTGCAGCATCGTTATACGAACCCTGCCTCTCATGGGTATGATTATTTATATAGTCAAGCCCCTGCCTTCCTTTGTCTGAACTCAGAATGGATGAGTAAAGACTACATTCAATCTCTCACTCGGTGGCAGGTAGTTATCACAACTTACACTGTATATGTAACATTATGTCTTTTCAAGAAAGATGGCTACAATCTAACAAAATGGCAGAAAGCACAAAGACGGAAAGGAAAAACCCTTGCCTTGTGTAGGAACATGGTCTGGAGCCAGCTGCAGCCTACCTAAGGGCCAGTAGTGCAGTCAAGGGTATACAGATATGTTTGCGGCTTAGGAATAGGGGTTTTGGAGGACCCAGAGAAGGGAACCCTCAACCAAGAGGAGCGATAAGATGTGACACCAAAATCCTGGGTCACATAAGATTTTTTTTTGGAGGGGGGGGCTGGGCAGGGGGCCTTGAGTCAAAGGCAAGTGGGCTCATAAAGGAACAGTGTGAAAATCAAGTCCCCCTGAAATGCTCCCCAGGGCAGGACTTCCATCAGTTACAGAGAAAGAGCAGTGACAAAACCGGTCACCTGTACCAGCTGCACCACTCTACTCCATCTGGGCACCTAGGCAGCAAACACAAAGAACCTGCAGACTAACCTCCAGCGTCACCAGAGATTATTCCATGACAAAAGGCAGCAAGGTGGCATAATCCCGAGGGAAGAGAACAGGACTGGGGGACTTTAGCCTGAAGCAAGCTGCTGTTTTCACATAAGGACCATGGCGCACACATAACACAAGAGGAAGTAGACAGTGAAGCAATGTGTGAGAAAACTTCAGACGAAGCTCAACATTCAAGGTCAAGAAACAAATGTCAGACAAGTCAGCACTGGCCTCTGTTGTCCTTCTTATCCAGACAGGGGTGGCCTTGGCCAGTGTCCAGGGGGACCTCAAGGCTGTTGTACATCAGCGGCTTGCTTACTCAACACCTTAAGAACTATGTCACACTACCACGTCCATTCACGGAAGGTCCTACTAAGGGCTCCATTTACTATAAGGCCATCACAAAACAAACAGTCCAGTGAAGGATTCTCCATAGTTCCAAACCCCAAGGTCTAGGACACACCTCCACATGTGCTCTGGCACATTTCAAGGATATCTGCTAACCACACATGACCTAGAGCCCACGGAGTCCAGGAACTGCAGGGAAGAACACTAAGGCTCAACGAGACAAATGTGGGGACTGTGTTTGATTTCAGAACTGCTATCAGTGAGTCTCCCAAAAAGCTATTCCTGAGATAAAGAGATTTGTATTCAAACCTGGTGTAACCATACCTGACCCCAAGTGGGTAGATGGGGCCATTCAACAGGCGTTGATTTCTACCTTTCATTGAGTGTTAAAAAAAATGAACCAAGGACAGACCCTAGTTTCTTCCTCACTACAACCAGATTGTATTTTCCCTAATTGCTTCCTCTCTCCTCTCCTCCACTCCCTGTCCCCAATTCTCACCACACCAGTTACCTTTGTCGCCTGTGGGCTGAAACAGATGGGTGGAAGTGCAGGTAGGTAGTACCAGGTCTGCCAAGCCCTCTGCCCCTCAGGGGCCAACTTGTCCTTTATCTTTTGGCTAGCACAAAAGGGCTTAGGACACAGGACACTCATATTTCATACCAAACAAGACACTGAGTCATGGGGAGAGTGGAAGATAAGCAAATCAATCACAGAACATCCAATACTGGTGTGTAGAAAGGCGGAACTCAGGGTTGACAAAGGGACCCCAGGACAGCTCTGGCTGAGGAGAAGGAGCAGTAGACAGATTTGGCTAAGTGACTCTGCAGTGTCACCCTAAAGGCGAGGGATACTGGAGGGTGGGGGACATGCACACAGCCCTCCCTCTTCTACATAGCCAGGGCTGGTAGCCAAAGTCCCTCCAGTAGACATGGGGGAAAAGGTACTGCAGGGCAGGAGACCCTCTGAAGTAGCCCTGTTTCCATCCCTTCCATCTTCAAAGTGCATTATCAGTGCAAGAAGTAGGTCTGGATCCCAGGGGGCCCACTCTGAGACAGGACTGTGCCAGCCAGCTCCCTTCATCTCCTCCGGCTTCCCCCCTTGCCTGCCCTGCCCCCTTTTACACTAAGACCAGAACTCCTGCTGGATCTCATAAGGGGTAGGCCTGTGTGTGTTCAGTTCAGCTCTGCATAGTGGCACGGTGCTGTCCTGACTCTGCCCCTCTGCGTCCAGGTCCAGAAGCGTCCGTTCCACAGTGGGCAGTGGCCCTGCCTGTAAAGGGAGCAGGGCTGGAAGCCCAGGCCTCTCCTCCACAGTGCTGCTGCTGCTGGTAAAGCAGGAGTCCAGGTTGCTTGGTGTTTCTGTGCTGGAGCTGTTGGCTGGGGAGGCGCTGCGGGCATGGCTCGGGGACACAAACCACCAAGGGTCCAGCCGTTGCCGGTTGGCAGAAGGACGTGGTCGAGGCAGAAACTCAAGGGTCTTAGGTCTCTCTAAAGTAGAGTCCCGTTGCGTGTTCCAGCGCCTTGGGGTTGGGGGAAAGACCACATTGGGGTCAGGGAGACGGGGGAATTCACTTGGGTCTCGGCTGGGACTGGGGGTTTTCAACATTCCTGGTCAGGGAGACAAAGGGAAAGGCATTAGATAATGGCACCATATCTGGGTTAGGTGCATGCCCTCCCCGCTCTATGCCATAGCCCTAGGTACAAGGGACAACAGGAATTCAACAAGTATTTAGAGAATACCTACTATGTACCATGCAGTGAACTGTGAGGTACTGGAGATTCAGCAGTGAACTTAAAGCCAAGTTGCCCTGAGTCAAGTAATAGTAACATATGGGGGTCACATCTATAATGAAATAACTTAAGGCAGATGTTGGTAAAAGACCTGTAAGATGGCCACTCGAGTAAAGTTTTATTGGAATACATTTTGGATACACTCAATGGCTGCTTTCCATCTACAGCTGTAAAGCTGAATTATAAGAGAGCTATGCAACCCACAAAACCTAAAACATTTACCATCTGTCCCTTTCCCAAAACAGTTTGCTGACCCCTGACTTAAGGGAATGCCCACCGTTCACTGTTCATCTATTTAATAACCATGTGACAGGAAAAGAGCTAGGCAGCAAAATGCAAAGGTGAGTCATTCTGTCTTTACACCCAAAGAGGTTACACACCTGAGTCTAACAAACAAATCTACAGGAAGTAAGGTCCAGCAATGGTGCAATACAGTTGGCACTGAACTTGAATCTCACGAAAAGGGGATGGTCACCTCTACTTCTCCCACTGAACTAGAGCCAGACCTGGGTCTTTTAGGGAACAAGGAATGGTGGAAGGGAAAGCTCCAGGTTGAGAGTGCATAGACCTAGGAGTCTCTGGAGTCAGGTGCTGAGAACAAGCTTGCGCACATACTGGACATATCTCCAGGCCTGAAGAGGCAGGCGTGACTCAAGGGTGAGTGACAGAGAACATGATGGATGGGTGGCAGCTGACCTTATGTGTGTATCTGAACTAATGCCATCATGGCAGGGGCCCAGGTATGTGGCACAAAATACCCTTCCCAGGTGCAATGTAAGATTCTTTCCTGATAGCTGCAGGATCTTCAGGAAACAACCAGGAGCTGGACTGCTATCCCCCCTGGATGCTGGACTCACTGCCCTGGCCCTGACCTATGGTATAAGCTTCCCACGAAAGCCCCAGGTGTGGCTCTTCCTACAACCAGCCTGACTTCTTTCAACAGCCAGGGGAAGATGCCTGTGGCACAGGGCAGAGAGAAGTCAACCAGCTCTGCCACCTTGCCAATCCTAGATCCTATTTCATGCAGTGCTGAGCAAGAGAAGGGGTGGGGCCTATTTAAATCCAGAAGCAGAAAGAGGAAATGAGCCACTTACAAACGTGTCCATTCCCTAGGAGCCACAACAGAAGCAAAGAGAAAAGACAAAGAGACCAGGTCTCACCTGCTCCAGGACTGGGACTCAACCCATTGCTGGAGGGGCTCCTGCTGGCTACCAGAGCTGTTGGCTTAAGTGCCCCATCAGAAGGAGTCCGCCTGTGACCACTCGGCTGTGTGGGGGCCGTGAGGGTGACGTGGGTGGGAGTCAGGGACTGGTTGGGGTCTCGTTTGAAGCGTTCCACACGGACATTAACCAGGGGGTTGTGGGTGCATGGGGTTAGGGGTGGAGCTTCGACTGGGCTGACTGGCATTTCATATACCACAATCTCATCACTGTCAGAGCGAAGCAGAGAGCGGGTGGAGTTGCACTCAGAGATGGAGGAGAGAGAAAGCAGTGTCAAGGAGGCAGAGGGGTCTCCTAGCAACATCACGGGTTCTTCCTTCTTGAAGAGCTTTCGGGAGGGGGGACTGGTACTCCGACGAGGACGGCTGGCCCTTTGGAAAAGACCCTCACGCCTCTTCTTCTCCTCCCGGGTTGGTGGCTCAGGCTCCTCTGGGGGAAGCAGTTGGCACTTGCCAGCTTCTAGTAAGTCAAACCCTAGGCCTGTGGCTGCCAGAACAGCTCCACAGCCAAGCAGAGCCACCTCGTAGCGCCGGTGGTGGGTACCGCCACGCTTGAGGCTGTTGGTTGGCGTCAGCTGAGGGGTACTGGTGGCTGAGTTGACTGGGGTGGGCTCCTCATGAACTCCATCACTGGAGGGGCCATCCCCATCCTCTCCACGAGGAAATGGGATACAGAGGTAGGACTGGTTGGGCGAATGCTGTAGATGACTCTCTCCACTCCTTGGACCTTCACTGTCCTCATCCTCTGTGAAAACAAGAGAAGTGGCAGAGAAATACAAAAAGGGAGCAAAGCAGCATGAAGAGCCTGGTCTTCAACCTAGTGCTCCCGATGTGGGATGCAGGAAACAGAACTGGATATTGAATCAGTGGAGTCTGTTTCCTGCCACACTCAACTGTGAGTCATATGGGAAATCTGTCTGCATTCCAGAGCCCATTTCTATACTTACAGAAAAGGGAATCTGCTAATGTGCCACTTCTTTCATAGTGATACCTTCTTTTGGGGTGTGTATGATGCTAGAGACTGAACTGAAGACCTCATACATGTGAGCCAAGTGATCTACCACTGGGGTATACCCTTAACCATACAGGGGGATTCTTACTACAAAATGCAGTTGAGTTTCTAGAACACTGGATAAAACAGAAACATTTCTTACATTTTTGTTCCTTAAAACTGGAAGGATTATTGGATTTTTAGCTTGATGCTTGTCTTAAGGTCAGTCTCCAAAAAGGATGAGAGCCCCCTGCATGGGTGAAGGTCAATCTGTTCCACTGATGGGCCTATTATGGCCTTGGGAATCTAGAGATGCGAATACTGAGGGAGCACCTGGGAAACTCACCCACCATTCAGTAACCAGACTTGATACTGGAAACAGCCTGGGAAAAGAGCTGAAGAGTCTTTTATCATCAACTTCCTTACCCTCCATGTAATGTCCCTCCCCAGAGGCTCAGAAAACAGAAATGTCTGATTCTAGTCCCCATGCTTTTATACTGCCCTAAGGAGATTATTGCTGGATTCTTGGGGTAGGAAGCCAAAGGTAGGCTCCATGGCTGTAGTACCAAGGAACTGATTTATGAAGACTCAGTAAGATGGAGGGGACAATAATCATATTTATAGATAAGTGTGTCTTTTACCCCTCATTAAAGAAATGTCTTTTTGCAACAAATGGAGACTATTAAAGAGTTCCACAACTGGTCAAACGCAGAGAGTAAGTGTCTATGAGGTGCTTTACCCTAAGTGACAAATCTTCAATGCAACCTCTACACATAGGATGTCACAATGGTGACAGCATGCACAAGTCTTATGCAAGCTCAAACCAGACAAAATTCCAGCAAAGACATGAGGAAGTGGGTAAGAAATCCAAACCCAAACTAAGGAGCTTTTGGCAATTATGGCTGCTGGGAGGGGGAGAGTCAGTGTCTTACAGGGATGGAACTCTAGGTAGGCCCAGCGGATGGACCTACACTGAAGGACATTTGAGGACACAAATCAGACTCTATAGGCTATGTTATATATATATATATATATATATGAAAGTATATTAAATTGGGTTGGGGGGGGAGAGTGGAAGGTATCTAAATATCATCAAACTATATTATATGAAAATTGCAAAGATTCAAAAAAAATTTCTTTTCCCCAATGGAAGGGACAGAGAAGGGGATCGGGAGGGAGTCAAGGACAAAAGTTGGAGAAAACCGAGACAAGAGCAATATTTACCCATCTCCATAAGGCTGGTGAACCCAGGCAGGGCAGGATTACTCCTCGGGCCCTTCCCCAGGTTGGGAGCACTAGATGACCACTGTTTGTATCCATCTACCAGGGACTTGAGGCTGCAGAGATAATGAGGAGATTGTCAGGACTGGCTACTTTCCTTATGCTAGTCTCTGTGGGCGTACGGAAACTGCTCCCCTTGTCTGCTTCATCACACTGGAAAGCCGCTAGGAACAGGCAACAAGTCTCCCTGAGCCCACCTGCTTCACAAACTGAAGTCTACATGCACTTGGCAAAGAAAAGCAGTCATACAACTTAGCCCATCACATGCTGTGGGATTACAGAAAGACCTAGTGAGCAGGCTGGCAGGCAGACAGGATAAGGACTGACCAGCTTGTGGAGGGTCTTGTCTGAGTCATTCTTAAGGAAAAGGCAATCAACCCACAGAAACTGAATGTAACACACTCACGACATAGAAACACTCCAGTGCAAACACCTGCAGTGCAAGGCAAGCATGGGCCAGATGAATGGGCAGAGATGGTCTGGGCCATTCCACTCAACACCTCTCTGCTCTTCCTTCCAAGCCTCTCTCTGGCATGCTTAGGCAGCTTTCAAAGCCATCCATTTTTCAAAAAGAAAAATCAACCAACAAAGCAGCACCAACCCAGTGCACTTGGGACAGACTTATGTGGGGGAGGACACTATGCTGTCTTCAAGCCCTCACTTTGTCTGGGCATGGAGAAAAAGAACAGCAGCTTGATTTCAAATCCCTGCTCATTGGGCAAACCGGTAACTCTTCAGAGACAAGACTGGATTCCCCCATCAGCTCCCTTAAATGAAGGGGGAGTCAGAGGTCAGGAAGTACTGGTCTTTTCCCTAGAGGGCAGCAAAACAGAGCACTGAGGAACTCTGCGAGCTATGGCGGCACTGACAATCTAGCATTGCAACCACAGCCGACTCAGTCCTGTTCAACTGAAACCTACTTTCCCAGAGTCCCAGACCACTGGGCAGAGGGAGAAGGCTCAGATTCCTCCTTGGCCTCAGAACCCTGTTTTAAGTGCTATCAGAAATACTGATGAATTAAAGCACATCCTAGACTCTGTTTCAACCAGAATGCAGAGCTGGAGAGAAGCATTGTTGTTCAACCCAGAGCCTGGGACTTTCAAGTGGAAATATCAACATTACTTCTAGCTCTGGATCCAAGGAAATTCAGGTTAGCAAAGTAAAAACCAGTGTTCAAGACTGAAGGCTAGATAGCCAAGTGGCCTTCTCTGTAAAACAAGCCCAGAAACTAGTGTGGTCAGGAAACAGGTTAGATCAACACAGGAATTTTCCCAAGGTGCACAAAGGTACTGCTCTTAAAAAAAAAAAAAAGAAAAAGATAAAGAAAAGAAAAGAAGCCCGCTCATCCCTTGCAGTGATGAGGTATGAAAACTAGGAAACGAGGGCAACGCTATCAATTCAGCTTGTGGATGGGCAGAGACCACTCACCCCAAGTGGAAATGTGGAGATTCTGATGGGGTACTTAAGCCATTAGTTTTTTCCCGTCTCTGAGGGGATCTTCAACAAATAAAGAGAATGAGTAGAGGTCACAGCCAGCTCAGCCTCTCCCACACCCAAACTCCCAAGGGTGAACTCAAGCGAGCTGGCCAGTTGCCCTCTACTTGTCCAGTCAGCAAGCCCACACCAGGAAATGATCTTAACAAGATTGTCCTGTTTGCACTATTTCAGACTCAGGCCCTTCCAATGTATAGGACAAAGGTCCCTGGGCAGCGAGAGGGTAATTGCAAAGGGCTGTGAATCAAGATACTCAAGCTGCCTACAGAAAATTAATTATGTGTTCCCTACAGATATGTACTATTTGGTAAAAGGATGAAGATATGAATTTACCTTACATTACTGAATTCAAGCTTTTTTGCATACACACACATTTGCAGTTGATAGGCATTACAATTAGGAATATTATCATGGGAGAAATCTTTAAAGTTTGTAACATTAAAGAGATCTGTACTCAAGACTAGGTGGAATACATTTTCATTTCCTCAATAGGAATTGAGAATACTAAAAATTTAAAGGCATATGTTTTTAATTGCTTCAAAAGCTTCTGAGAACAACTCATTATATAAGGAGAAAGAAAAGTACAAAGTTAGTATTTTGTAGTGTAATTCCTACCAAGACAAAAAAAGTCTTCTTAAAAAATATTTTACTTATTTTTATTTTACGTGCATGAATGCATTGCCTGCATGTATGTGAGTGCACCTGTATTGTGCAATGCCTATGGAGGTCAGAAGAGGGCATCAGATGCCCCGGAACTGGAGTTATGGACGGTGTTAGCTGCCATGTGGGTGTTGAGAACTGAACCTGTGTCCTCTGTAAGAACAGCCAGTGCTGTTAACTGCTGAGCCATCTCTTCAGCCCCCAAACAAACAAACAAACAAACAAAAAAATTCTTTAAACGAGGAAGAAGACCAGCAAAAGGGGGGTTATGGGAGATGGGGGAAGGCAGTGGGGAGATAAGAAAAAGGAGAATGATCTATATGTGTGAAACCTATCCTTTTGTATGTCCACTTTAAATTTTTTTTGAATTAATGGAATCCATAGCCATCCTGATTAACTCTGGAATCACAATAATGTCAGAAACAGCAAGGGATTCAGGGTGACTGAGTTTCTCAGACCCAGGCCTCAATGGACAAACTAGAAAGCTGTCTTCCCTACTCTACGCTACAGAACTTGATAAAATAGAGCGATCTGATGGCCCTCAAGGATTCAACTGCTGAATTAATACATGGCATTGGCAGCTTGTTTTACATATGAACACTTTCTAGTCAAAGGAACTCAGTGATTTCCAAAGCCTCGCTTATATTTAATATATCAGACTGCTCTCTTCACCTTGAACTCTGACAAGAAGAAGAAAAATTGTAAACATGAAATCTTAGTATTCCAAAGATTATCAAACCAGTATACAGGTTCAGGGCCCCTATTAGCTTAATGAAAAGTCACTAAAAATGGTGAGATGGCTGCTAGTTATTTCCACTCTTAGAATGTCCAGGGAATGTTCTAGAATAAGTACAAACAGAGACATCCATGCTTTGGGTTATTAAAGAGGATGGCATGAGAGGCAGAGAGGAATCATCCCAGCTAATGCTTCCATGTGCTTACCATGAGCCAGCTAATCTATGCACTTCACAAACATGAACTCTGTCAACCCTTATATCAGCTCCATGAGCCAAGCACTAAACGACTAGCTCTTAGGTGGGAAACAGGAGCTCCACACTAGACATGGTGGAGCTGAGTCTCACAGCCAGGCTGTCTGGAGTCCACATCCCAGCCCTAGTCTGAGAAGAACTGCGACACAGGAGAATCTGCCTCCTGGGCTTCAGGCCCACAAGTGAGGGCACAGCATATTTAAAGCACCAAGACCTTGTGACAAGGGCACTAACATATGTGGCTGGGGTGAGGCCTGAAAGAGGTCCAATGGCCCCACAGAACATTCTACTGCACTACCAGGGCTGGAATGTTCTGCCTGCCCATTTCAGGATAGACCTCCTGCTAACTCTGATCTTTCTCTTGTTTCTCTGTCACTTTATGGAGAAGATTCAGATGTAAACAGACCACTCAGGTCAAACTGTCTGCATTTTCTTACTGCTTGGGCCACTTGCTACTTTGAGTAGGACACCTGCAGGGGGCAGCAGGGGGCTGGATCCTGCCTCTTTGTGTTAAGTTTTGACGGGAACACAGCCCTGTGCTCATTCATTCATGCACTGTTCAAAATCTGTGGTGGCTTTTGTGTTTCTCTGTCACTGTGTAGATCAAAAAGTCTAAATATTATCTGGCCATTTATGGAAAAAGTTTGACAGGAGACTGGAGAACTCTACTGAAAGACCAGGAACAGCTGGGCCTGGTGGTGCACACCTGTAATTCCAGCACTCAGAGGTGGAGGCAGGAGGATGGAGTTTGAAGCCAGCATGGGCTAGTGAGACCCTGTCTCAAAAACCAAAACAAAACCCTTATAATTTCTCAGGAAATATTAAAGCATACAAAAGGCGGGGGAAGGTATCTCCCATCATTTTAAAACAGTGTGTCCATCTTTAAGTGAGAAACAATTTCACATCAACTGGCTCTTACCCTTCATCTCCTGAGTTGAGCTCTTTCTGCCCAAGTGTTCCTGGTCCCCACGTCCGCCCCTTCTTCTTTGGGGCCCTCTTCTCCTCTTCTTCCCCTTCCTCTTTTGGGACAACAGAGCTCCGGCCCCAGGTTTTACTGCTTTCACCTGGTGTCACTGTGAATAATGAAGGTTGTGGAGGATAGGGAATTAGTCTCTCCAAAACTGACAGACAGACAGGCAGACACAGACACAGACACAGACACACACACACACACACACACACACACACACCCCTGTAGCGACGATAGACTTCATCAGAAATTGTCTGTGTCCGCCCTGTGAGGATGAGACACACAGAGACACGAACATACATATTCATCTCCTGAGTTGAGCTCTTTCTGCCCAAGTGTTCCTGGTCCCCACGTCCGCCCCTTCTTCTTTGGGGCCCTCTTCTCCTCTTCTTCCCCTTCCTCTTTTGGGACAACAGAGCTCCGGCCCCAGGTTTTACTGCTTTCACCTGGTGTCACTGTGAATAATGAAGGTTGTGGAGGATAGGGAATTAGTCTCTCCAAAACTGACAGACAGACAGGCAGACACAGACACAGACACAGACACACACACACACACACACACACACACACACCCCTGTAGCGACGTTAGACTTCATCAGAAATTGCCTGAGTGCACCCCGACAGGAGTAGACACACACAGACACGTACACAGATACTCCTGCAGTAAAGTTAGACTTCATCAGAAACTGTGCCTGAGTGCACTGACAGGAAAGTAGTGCAGTCCTTGGCCACCAATCAGCTCTGTCAAAGCCCTAAACAGGGACAAAATTCCTAAATTTCCACAAGTCCAAGATAAAACTGGAGCTCAGGACAGCCACTCTACACAGCTTTGACTTAAGGAGTCTGTTTTATTACCTGCATTCAGATGCTGGGGGATGAAGAGGTTTACAAGCCGGTGGGGGGGGGCAGGGGAGAAAGTGTGGAAGAGCAGAACTGTGAGGAGAAAATAGATGGAAAGGAAGAAAATGGGTGGGGGGGGGGCTCAAGGCTGTGGAGAGGGAAGCTGGGAAGAAAAGGAAGGCAGGGAGGAACAGGCCCAGAGAGACAGAATAAATAGGAGAGGGAGAGCACCTTAGAAGCTGGGGCCAGAGGCCTTAGAGACCAGGCTTATATCAGAAATGAGAGTGGCGAGCCAGGCACCAAAGTTAACAGGTCATGGAGGGGACTGAGGCAAAATACAAAGCAAAAGCATGGGGGAGAAGCCGGTCTCAGTTCCTGCCAACTGTGGCCACAAGAAAAAGGGAACTCATTCACTGAGTTTTCAAGGAAGGTCAGAAATCCAGGATTATAAAAAGAAATCTATCTTCAAATTTGAAACAAACACACACACACACACACACACACACACACAAACACAGACATCTATGTATATTTATTTTTAAGCAAATATCATATTAAAAAGAAAATTAGTCCAGGCTTGGCCCACTACGAGCACTTGACACATCTTCTGAGGACCTGGGCTTTGGAAGGGCCTCTGCTTGGGAGACACGGATAAAAGAAAGACAATGATGCCCCGAGTAGGGAGTCAGCATGTTAAGTCCACAAGGCAGGACTCCAATCTGTAACACTGCAGAATCCCAAACACTGGAATTCCCTGAAGACCTTTCTGCACCTACAACCCCCATGCTGTGGATAAAAGAAAGACAATGATGCCCCGAGTAGGGCAGTCAGTATGTTAAGTCCACAAGGCAGGACTCCAATCTGTAACACTGCAGAATTCCAAACACTGGAATTCCCTGAAGACCTTTCTGCACCTACAACCCCCATGCTGATATCTGACTGAGAGTGAAAGGTGGAGGAAGAATCAGCAAAGTTAACAAGGGGACCTGGGGCAGGGGAGCAGAGGGTTTGCAAATGTGTATGCATGGAAATACACATTGTTGAGGAAGGTGGCGTTAGCTGGGCCTGGAGCAAGCCTGGACTAGTCAGTGACTAGAAAGAGCAGAGGACAAGTGTCCTTGGTATAGTCTGGCCTCAACTAATTTTGAAAACTGTCTCACACTGGATGGCTCGAAGGCGAGGGATGATGGTGGGGCTTGCAGGAGGGCTTGAGCGGTTGCTGATAAGACTCTTCCTTTTATCCACGGTTGGGGAAGCCTGCACTGTGAACTTGTGCTGGAAATCTGCTTGAGAAAAGACAAACACATCTATGCATTAGTATGATCCTATAATCAAATTCATTTAAGAAAACGGATGGCTCCTAGCAGGACTGAGGGATTGGCCTCAGTTTCCTGAAAAGCTCTGTTCATCAAGGAAATCCTCTTTCAGAATCATTTTTCCCCAATGGGATGTGGCAAGATGAATGTATGAGATGATGCAAAGTTCATGGATGACATCTTCATAAGAATCTCTATTTCATGGACATAGGTGGGACAATTACATATTGACAGTGGCTTTTTAGTGCATGTGATCTTGTGGATTATTCTAGGAATTGTAACTTGAAATTCTCATTTTCGGATGATCTGTCACTATGCACAACTTCACAGGTACCAAAGCAGGGCAAGCTTGATGCTCCTCATAAAGTGCAGGGGAGCAGGGCATTGAGAGCTCAGCCCACTGTCGGAACCTGCGATCCAAAGAAGCTGAGGAAGTGATGTCAGTTCTGACACATCTCAAAGGCAGTTTGGGTGCAACAGAAAGAATGAAACTTTCAGCTCTGAAGTTCTGAGTTTCAGCCTCTTCATCTATCAGAAAGGTACTCAAGTCTCCTAAGCTACACTAAGATCTCCCTGAAGACCAGAACTACAGCTTTGCATCAGTGTTGCTAGTGCACAGCAGTGTCTTGGTACAGGCCAGATGCTCCAGAGGTACTGAGAGATCCCATACTACCTACAAAGAAAAAAAAAAACACCCCAAAACAGAAAAGATGCGACAAGGAAGGCAGTGTGCATTCCTATGTGTACATCTCTCAACTTCAGTGAGTAAATTCCCTATCTGTGCCTAAGCCACCATCCTAAGGCTTGGGGTCACCCACAACAGCTCTGTCGTGCCATTTTTCTTATATTTCTAATGAGCTTGCTTCTTGAGGTCTTACAGACTTAGAACACAAAGAACATTTCTATCTATAGAAGCACACATTTGAGAACCCACCTGCCTCCATGGGTACGTCATATAGCAGCAGGGTTCTAATTCATAGCTGCATATTCTTTACATTTTCCCTGAGACAGTAGTATCAGAAATGTCCCTTTATTGAGCCAATGCATTTCTGATGGGCTACGTGTAAATTTTATAATATGAATCTTACATATTAGCTTAAGGTCAACTGTACTTGGAGAACTAAGAGAAATGAGAGGGACTGCTCTGTTGCTCTCGTTCATGCACACCCTAGAATTCCCCGCCCTCCCAGAATTAACAGCTCCTTCTCCAGCTTTGGCCTACACTGAGTGTGCTCAGGTGTGCACTGAGTGAGCTACTGAGCTTGGAGCAGCCTGGGCCTTGCACATCAGGTGTAACTTCATAACTCTGCATTTACTCACAACAGTTCCTGTGGAGAGGGGTAGATTTTCCACAACAGTTCCTGTGGAGAGGGGTAGATTTTCCACAAGCCAGTTGTCCACCAAGTAAGATGGCAAATTCTAATGGGTTCCATTTGAGAGTCAGGGTCTCTGAATTTTCAAGCACAGCCCAACTCCCACAAACCCCTGCCACACCAGCTCCTGGCCCTGCTCCTCTCCTTTCTACCACTGACCAGAAGGGAGGCTGATGCGGTTGCCATCCTTAAGCTTCAGCCGGCTCTTCCTGAACTTGCCCTTGCGTTTCTTCACCCTGGGCTTTTCCTGGCACAGCTGGTGGATGATGATGTTGAGCTCCCGTTCCAGGATGTCGATCTCCCGCTCAGCCAGCTCCTGCTCCCTCCGCCGCAGCAGCTCCTCCTGGTTCTTCTGCTGGAGTGCAGCCCGTGTCAGCTCCTCCTCCCAGGTGCGGAGCTCCTACAGACAGAACGTCAGAGATAGGAGCAGAGTGTCAGTGCAGAGAGGGTCTGGGGTCAGACAACATGGAAAATTCTCCCATGATGCCCAGTAGAGAGGGTGCTCAGCAGTTAGCTGGTAATGGTGGGGAAAGGAAGGCTCACCACAGCTGTACTATGTTCTGAATACAGCCAGAGAGGTTAATGCCACAGGCCAAGCCTGCAGACAGGGGCTGACTATTGCTGAAATACTAATGTCCCCTTATTCATGCAGATGAGTCTCAAGCCCCATAAGGAATGCCTGAGACCACAGATACTCCTGAACTCTACATGTAAAATGTGTCTTCCTATATCATACCTCCATCATAAAGTTCAACTTATAAATTAGGCATAGTAAGATATTAAGAACAGCAACTAACAAAGGAGAGTAACAGTACACTATAATAAAACTACCAGCATCACTATTCTTTTCTCTGGGACCACTGTTAAGTAACATAAGGGTTGCCTGAACACAGGATTGGGATACCGCAGCAGCTGATGTGATAGCTGAGGTACCTATGGTCTAACTCAGGTAGCACAAACAGCAGAGTGACGACTGGGTCCCAGGTGGAACAGAGCAAGATTTTTATCATGTTGCTCGGAATGGCATGCAACACAAAACATGAACTGACAGTGGTTAAGTCAACCACAGAAAGTAAAACTATGGATAAGGGGGCACTATTGTTAACTGCTTATTGGCAGGATCCAATTTTTATTTTTCTTATTGGCTTATAAAATTTTTAAATTACATTATGATTTTATCCATCCAAAGAAAGGTGGTCAGGAGTCAGTGATTTAGCAATCTCAACATGGCCAGACACTCTGCAGGTTCTACTAGCCGGAAGCGAGGCAGTAATACAAACAGTTTCTTGGATCAATCCACCGATGGCCAGTGCAGACCCACCTAGCAAGATCTGAAAGATCTGCCATAAGCTTATACCATCCCCTTATGGCATACTCAATGACTTGCCAGGTAGCACTGTGTTTAGCATTGTGTGTGCTGTGTACCAAAGGAAACTAATCTCTTCGAGTCAGATCCAGAAAATATTTTTAAGCCATTTGTGTAGGAGAACAACAGTGATATTGCAAAGAACACAGGGTTTAGAACCTGATGGCTCAGGGTCGAGGTTCTACTTCCCCACTAACTCATTCTATTACTGGAGGAAGCCACTGGCCCCCAGCTCTGAGATAATAATAAGACCTGGCCTGCATATCATTATTCCAGCAGGCTAGAAAGAACAAAAAAGTCTCATCAGGCCTTGCAAGTAAAAAACAAATGAGAATGGGCTGGAGAGATGGCTCAGCAGTTAAGAGCACTGACTGCTCTTACAGAGAACCACAAGTTAGGTTCCCAGCACCCACATGGTGGCTAACAACCACTTGTAACTCCAGTTCCAGGGAATTCAACATCCTCTTCTGACCTCTGTGGGCACTGCACGACACAGGTACACTTACACATGTAGGCAATATACTCATACATATAAAAAAATAGTAAGCTGGGCATGGTGGTACATGCCTTTAATGCCAGCACCCAGGAGGCAAAGGCAGGCGTATGTCTGTGTCAAGGCCAGCCTGTTCTACATAGTGAGTTCCAGGTCAGCTGGAGCTACAGGGAGACCGTGTCTCAAAAAGACCAAAAAATAAATAAATGAAAATGAAAAAATAATAATAAATAAAATATTTTTAAAAAAGAAAAACAAATGAGAAACAATGAGTCATATACAATTCTGGATTCTATTACCATCATCATTACCATCTACTCATTCATCTGGTCCTCTGTGGCAGGGTGTCTGTCACACTATAGTCCAGGCTAGTCTTCGGACTATACAAATCACTTTGTAGCCCTGGTTGGCCAAGAACTCACTATGTGGTCCAGTTTGCTCTCAGACTTACAACCCTTCTGTCTCAGACTACTGGGATTGTAGACATGGGCCACCATGCCTGCCTATCAGACTATTTACTCCCCAAATTTTTATACTATATAGACTGAGAAGGGAAAAAAGGAAATTAACTAAGTCTACATGGCCATCTCTCAGGCCCCTGGATTCAGCCCTGCCCTGATAGCATAGGTTATATAACTGCTTATGATAGGTTTCACCTATGTGAACACTCATTGCTAGGATTACACCAGGGAAGGAGAGAAGGACCATTTGGGAAATGGCACCAAACCCAAAAGCAAACTGTACCAAGCTTGGAGGTTCTGAACTATCCAGTCGGTTTGAGCTTGGAATCTTTTCCATGAAAACACGAAAAATCCCACAGTTTCAGACCTTTGGTATTTGTAGCTCATAAACTATTTCTGACTCTGATACTAAAAGACACCGGCAAGATGGTCTGCTACCTACTATCAATGCTCAACTTCCCCTCTGTGAAGTTGCCCTCCCTTTAGAGGTCCCCTGTGGAATCAGGAAACTCTTCTAGAATGCTTTATTTTGTGTTAGCTAGCAGGAGGAAACATCCACTGGTAGCTGCCCACTGCTGCTCCTGCTATGGGTCAATGAAGTTGACCCCAAGGAGGAAGGCGAGGGTGTTGGAATCAGTGGTTGAAGAGACAGGGTCCAAGTCCACCATAAAGAGGCTCTACTAAGTTAAAACATGCCTCTTCTCCTCTTCTTTACCTTCTCTTTGGCCCTGAGTTGGTCAAACATCTCCTGAATCTCATGCTTCCAGTCGTCCTGCAGGCAGTGGAAGGAGTCCTTGGGCATCTCAAAGAAACCAGACTCCTCTATGGTCGTTAGCTGGTCCAGGATACTTGTGAAAGATGGTCGTGAGTGGGGGTCAGGATTCCAGCAGTCTGAATAGAAAGCATGAACGAGCAGAGGAAGTCAGAACAAGCGCAGGACACCACATTGCCCCATTAACCAGAAAACCACCTCGTGTTTCTCCTTCCAGAAAAGAGAGACACGAATTTAGGTAACCCCAGGCAGTAAGGCAGGCTGCACGACAAAACCATGAAGAGTAAAACTGGAAGCCGAACGTGGCAGGCGTGTGCCCACCTAGTTCTGTTAAGAAAGCGTAAGGAACGCAAACACAAGCTTCCTGTGCCAAGTACTGCTAGCACAGTTTACCAGTTACTATATGAGTCAAGTCTTGACAATGGCTAACTACATTCCAAGCCTCAATTTCCCATAAATACATGAGCCACCATCCCCTACACCTCAGTGGAATGAGAAGGCAAAGAGAAAAGCATCAGAGTGAGAGTCAGGGCAAGTGAGTCTGAGCTAACCCCTGCCCAGCCACTAACGGGGACGCACTTTTCCTCTTCACTTTGTTCAGCTTTGCATGTCTCACAAAATTAATGATTTGACTCAGTGAATTATCTATTTATTTTCTTAATTTCATGTGTATGAGTGTGTCCCTGTATGCATGCATGTGTGCCATGTGAGTGCCTGGTACCCACAGAGGCCAGAAAAGGGCATCAGATCCCCTGGAACTGAAACTACAGATAGCTGCGAGTCACCATGTGGGGGCTCAGAATCAAACTTGGGTCCTCTGGAAGAGCAGCAAGTGCTCTTTTTAAAAAGATTATTCTAGGGGCTCAGCAGTTAAGAACACTGGTTGTTCTTGCAGAAGACCCAGGTTCAAATCCCAGCACCCACATGGCAGCTAACAACTGTCCGTAACTCCAGTCCCAGGGGATCCGACAGCCTCTTTTGACCTCTGCGGGCATTGCACGACATGGGTGCACTACCTTACACACAGGCAATACATGTATACACATAAAATAAAAATAATACATAAATTAAAAAAAAAAGATTATTCTATTTATTGTTTTTATTTTATGTATATGAGTGCTCTGTGTGCTAGTAAGTGCACCAATGTCATGCAATGCCCACAGGGGTCAGAAGAGGACATCAGATCCCCTGGAACAGGAGTTACTGAGGGCTGTTAGCTACCATGTGGGTGCTGGGAACCGAACAGGCATCCTCTGCAAGAGCAGCCAGTGCTCTTAACTGCTGAGCCATCTCTCCAGCCCCAGCAGCAGCAAGTGCTATTAACCACTGAGCCATCTCCAGTCCCTTTCTTCTCAAATGACCTTCAGTTCAGGATGTAAGTTACTGAGGTCTGGAAATAAACACTATTTTATCTTACTTTGCAATAAATAATGAGATACTGGAATGCCAGATCGCATGCTTTAGTTACTAACTTCCAGTTACTTCAGAAAGGGACCACTGTCTAGAAGCACCTCTTCCAACTGCTCTTGCAGGCTGGATAACATTTCATTTCCTCTTTTGGCAACTGATCTAATGACATTTGTCAGTATTTATCGAGTACTGTATATAAAGGTAAATGGCCTCCAGTTTTCTCAGGCCAGGAGTTACTTACCTTCCATGAGTTTGGCAAAAGGTTCTGGGCATGTAGAAGGAATAGGGAGGGCCAGTTTGTTCATGGCCACTCCATAAGCCACTGCTAAGCCATCGATGCCTCGGAAAGGTACCTCACCAGTCAGCAGCTCCCAAAGTAGCACCCCATAGCTAGGTAGAAGAACAAGGCAGAAACCATATAAGAAATCACACTCACTGAAATAACCTCACTGAAAGAGCTCTCAAGGCTTTACCAAGCATCCCACATCCTCCTCAATCCACAGTATGACTAAAGAAATAGATGCACTATATAAAAGGGAAGTCACACAGCCTATTAGCTAAAAGCAAAGAGTCTAGAGTTAGGCACATCTAATTTCAAAGTCTCATTGCATCACTGCCTACCTATGAGTCCTTGGACAAATCACTACATCGCTCTGAGCCCCTAATTCTTCCTCTGTAGAAAGCAAATAACACTATCAGTCTCACAAATTGTCATAAAATTAAATGAGTCTGTAAGGGCTTAAATAAGTACTCAATGTCCAAAGAAATTTTATTGCTTTGCTTTGTTTTGAAACAAGGTCTCACTATGTAGTGAGCCTGGAATTCCTAATCCTCCCGTCTCAGTCTCCCAAGGGCTAGGATTACAGGCCTGCATTACCATGACTGGCTCTGTTGTTACTGTCAATGAAATAGGCTTGTAGAAGAGATCATCTCCCACACAGAATCTTTCTGTTTTTAGACAGCTTCAGCTTTTCTTCACAGACACATTTTTTTTAGCTTTAGAAAAGCAATGAGCTCAACATGGATGTTGCTCCTGCGAAGACTTCTTTATAGCTGTGAGGGGAAAGTTTCACAAGGGTAGACTGGGTCAGCGGGGCAGAGCAGGACGCCAGCTACGAGAACTTCAGTGTGCCTTCCCTGCCTAACACATTCATGGAAACAACTCCTCAAGTCCTATGAGTCAGGGAATGTGGAGTACAAAGGCTAGTAGAATTAGTCTATGAATTCACAATCAAAACCAGGTGAAACCACATAGCATTCAGTCTTTCCAAGAATAAGTCAGGACAAGAAACTATAGGCTATGAATACCCAGAAGGATGTTTCTACCTGGTACTTGTGACACCAACCTCAAGAATCTTGTAATACTTATCAGCAGTACACAGCCAGCAATGAAGGCCATATCAATTAAATAATAATAATAATAAGCGCAGTATGTGTTTATCAAGATACCCTGTTTGTCTGTTTGTGTTTGTTGTTTGTTTGTTTGAAGGGTTAGGCAATACTTTGCTCCCCACAACCTATCATGATTATTTCATATAGACAGAGTATAAGGCACTTTACAAAATCATCCCGAATCTGTGCAAGGATGTGAAATAAGGATTACCACTGCTTGGCAGGTAAGGAAGTTGAGTCTTAGATGTGTTAAGCGATATTTGAACTGTCTACACTTAGTACATCATGGAAGGCCCTGAGCTGACTTTAAATTCCTTCTCTCTACAATGCCCTTCCACCATTTCTCTGCTTGGTAAATACTAATAATCTTCCAACTCAAATGCTCCACCATTTATTCATTCATTTATATTAAATATCTGCTCAATACTTAGTATCTGCTCAATACTTAGTATGCACACAGCCCAGTGCCAGAACTGGAATTTAGGGCAAAAGGCACAGATCCTACACAGAGATTAGCTAGAGGTACAGAACAGACCAAAGCAGGAATACAGGGATAAGTCACAACTGATGCCAGGGCACACAGCTAAGCTAGACCAGGGTGAGAAAAGCAGATGGCCTATGATCTAAGCCTTGACTGCTAAGTGAAAGAGGGAAGTCGAAGCTCTAGAGACAAGGGCAAGCACATAAGATAAGCACAATTTGCCTTCAAAAGATCCCAAATGCTCTAGCCTGACTCCAAAGAACAATGTCCCAACCTATGTGCCAGGACATGGAGGGGGGGCTAGGGGGCTATAAATGGCCCTTTGGGGGTGGCACAGCCATCCTGCTGTGCCATCCTGCTGTGACTCCAGTAAGGTTTCTGCATACTGTCACTTTACGTGTCTTGACAGGAAACAGCCAGTTACAGGACTTGTCCTTTCTAGACAAAGTTGGATTTTAGTTAGTAGCTGAGACCACTGGTTACTTTAGGAGTCCTTCCCTGACATTCCCTGTTGACTGTCATGCATTGCAATCCTTACGTTCTCAGGGTCTCATCAGGCTCTGGACACAGTAGGTGTTTGGAGACATACAAGTTGGCAGGCAAAGTGACAACGAGTCAGATAGTCTTATAGGCTGCACTGGGTCTGCTATAGTAAGCCTTAAACAGCATCAAGAATTATACTAGTAGAGCTGGGGATGTGGTTCAGCGGTAGAGCATTTGCCTAGCAAGATGAGGCTGTGGCTTCCATCACCAGCAGGAAGTTGGGAGGAGGATGATATTGAGAAATTGTGCTTCTGCCAAACTTTAAATATGACTTATTTAGAGAGTAATCACACTGGGAAGCTTTTAACAAAGCAACCTCAAAGAACCCTCAGCACTGTTGGTCAGATTCCTAAGTTAGAACTACTCCTATCTTCCACTGACTTCTCCCGGCATAAATGTCCACTTCTACCCTGCTGAAAGAAACCAAAGGTCCCACAGACTCCCATCCTCCATCCAGGCAAAGATGACTGGGGTTTGAACCCCAAATACTTGGAAAGACAGCCGAGTGTTTCAAAGACCTAAGCATGCTGTGTTTGTATCCTGGTATCCCTTCCATGATGAATTCCCCACTAGCCCTATCTAACTAATATGACCATGTCTCAGGCTACCCCACTAATCCTACCTAAGTGTGCTATTAAGATGTCTCAGGCCACTTGGGACAGGAAGGAACTAGGGCTCTAATCTTCTGAACTTCAAGGAGGGCAGCTCTATTCTTTCTGGGCTTGTTGGTCTGTCTAAGATCTGCTTCACCTGCTATAGCTAAGACTGAGAACTGCTGCTCAGGTAGGGGATACTACCTCAGAAAGACTGACAGAGCATGCCCAAAGCCTGTGCTATCTTTCATTACCAGCTATGAGTCCTCGGGGAAGCAAGGTCACGCGTCTGAACACCATTTCTTCAGCCATACAATGAAGACAACAATATCTACCCCACAGAAGAGTTACCAATAAGTAACAACAGTCCCTCTTCCTTTTGGAATCACCATCTGCGACTGGTAGACACATGCTACTTTCTATTTCTGTGATAAAACACGGAGCAAAAGCAAGCTGGTGAGGAAAGGGTTTACTTCACCCTACAGCTTAAAGTTCATCATGAAGGAAAGTCAGGCCAGGCGCTCAGGGCAGGAACTGGAGGCAGCAACTGAAGCAGAGACCATGGAGGATGTCACTTGCCAGCTTGCTCCTCTGGCCTGTGCTCAGTCTTTCTTATACAACCCAGGACTACCACCCACAGTGAGCTGAGCTTTCCCACATCACTCAACAATCAAGAAAATGACTAACAGACATACCCACAGGCTAACCTGATGGAGAAACTCCCCCAATTGAGGTTCCCTCTTCCAAAGTATGTCAAGTTGAGGACTGAAGATATTTAACACAACTGACCCCTTGTCAACGTGACACACAAACACATCACTATTAAGCCATAAATTTCCCATTTCTTGTCACCAAGATTTCATGTTAATAGTAATATTACAACATAAGACACAGTACAACTTTAAGAGTCCCAGACTGGGCCGGGCGTGGTGGTACATGCCTTTAATCCCAGCACTCGGGAGGCAGACACAGGCGGATCTCAGTGAGTTCAAGGCCAGCCTGGTCTATAGAGTGAGTTCCAGGGTAGCTGGGGCTACAGGGAGACCCCGTCTCAAAAAGACAAAAAAAAAAAAAAAAAAAAAAAAAAGCCCCAGTGTGAATGTCCTTAAAAATTCTAATACTTTAGCTCAATGTCTCAAAAAATCCAAAGTCTCTTAACTGTTGGCCCCTGTAAAATAAAATTTAAAAAGCAAAACACAAAAAACTAAACCTTAAATGTTTCTTACTCCAAGAGGAAAAACCAGAGCACAATCAGATCAAAACCAAAACCCAACAATGTGCTGTTCAGTGTCTGGGATTCAGTCATGGTCTTCTGGGTTCCAAAAGGCTTAGGCAGCTCCACTTCTCCAGCTCTGCTATCCACAACACACACCACAGCCTGTCCTGCAGGCTCAGCCTGGCTCCATTCCACATCTGCCACTGTCCTTAGTGGACATCCCATAATCCTGGCAGCTCCAATATGCTGGGGTCTCCATTGCAACTGAGGCTGCACCTTCACCAATGGCCTCAGCTGGCCTCTCTCAGTATCAAATCTCAGATTCTCCCCACAACTCCTTCAATTTTCAGCTTTCATGCTGCCAAAACCAGTACCACATGGGAGAATCTTACACATTACCAAGTTCTGTGTCCAGCTTGAGATGCAGCTGTGGTCCCTCCCCTGGACCAGATTTCACCTCAATGATGCTGATACCTTGTTATTCCCAGATGATTTTTCAGCCCCAACTGATCAGCATCAATTGTCCCAGAGAAGCAAAAGAAATTTCACTTCCAAAAGTTTTTATTTGAAAATATATTCCTCTGAAACCTCATAAGCCATGCCTCTACCACCTCCACGTCTCTCAGCATTATCCTCCAAGTTCCCATCCTGGACCAGATTTCACCTCAATGATGCTGATACCTTGTTATTCCCAGATGATTTTTCAGCCCCAACTGATCAGCATCAATTGTCCCAGAGAAGCAAAAGAAGTTTCACTTCCAAAAGTTTTTATTTGAAAATATATTCCTCTGAAACCTCATAAGCCATGCCTCTACCACCTCCACGTCTCTCAGCATTATCCTCCAAGTTCCCACAGAACAGCTCACTAAGCTTTGAGTACTCAACAGCTTTTTCAGCCCAAAGTTCAAAACACTTCCACAATCTTACCCGCCAAAACAACATGGTCAGATCCATCACAGCAATATCCTACTCCTGTACCAATTTCTGTCCTAGTACTTTCTGTTACTGTGATAAAACACTGACCAAAAGCAAGCTGGGGAGGAAAGGATTTATTTCACTTTACAGCTTATAGTTCATCATGGAGGGGAGCCAGGCTAGGAGCTCAGGGTAGGAACCTGGAGGCAGGAGCTGAAGCAGAAAACACAAAAGAATACTGCTTATTGGC